AGTTCATTTAAAATGTTAGGGTTTGCGTGGGCAAAGACGGGGCCCGCGTAGGACATGACTGGTCGTATACATACCTTGTAGAGGGTACGCTTGTTTCGAAGGGACATTTTACTGTGTCGGCCCAACATACTGTTGAGCCTACTCAGATAAAACCGTGCGTGACGGGTTACTCTTTTGACGTGGGGCTTGAAAGTGAGCCCTGTGTCTAGAGTGACACCTAAATATTTGGCGGACGTATGCCAGGGGACAGGGGTCCCTAGTATACGTATTGGTGGAGTGTTTTTGAGACGGCGTCGTTTATAATCGAAGTGGACGGCGGAGCTCTTCTCCGGGTTCACATCGATGCGCCATTTTTTGAACCAAGCTCCTAGGTCATCAACTGACTTTTGGATCTTGTTCCGTATAAGGGGTAGTGAGACACCTTTGCAGTAGATGGCAGTGTCATCTGCAAAGAGGGAGAGTTGAACACCTTTCGACGGGATGGGAATGTCGTTGGTGAACAGGATGTACAGCAGAGGAGCAAGTACTGAGCCCTGAGGGACACCAGCCTTGATAGTTCGCTGTGAAGAAAGCGTGCTTTCGTGTCTGAAACGAAAGGTACGATGTTTTAAATAGGAGGCCACGAGACGAACTAGACGATCGGGGGAGACCTATTTTATAGAGCTTGTAGATGAGGCCTGTGTGCCAGACTCTATCGAAAGCTTTGGCTATATCGAAAAAGACCGCGATGGTCTTATGACGACGAGGATAGAAACCGCTGAGGATATATTCCACAATGCGGTGAACTTGTTGGGGACATGAGTGTTTGGCTCGGAAGCCGAATTGATGGGGAATGATAAGAGGGTCGCCGTCTGTGGGAAACAGATAGCGCCTCATACGCGTTTGGATGACTCTTTCGAAGAGCTTGCCCATTGCCTTGAGGAGGCTAATGGGGCGATGGCTGGAGGGGAGGTTTTGGGAGGCTTGCCTGGCTTGGGAATTCCAATCACAGTAGCCTCTTTCCACGTAGTGGGAAAATAACTAAGGTTGAAGCAGGCGTTGAAGATAATAGATAAAAAGGTTAACACCTGCTCGGGAAAGTGTTTTAGGGCTTGGTTGGAGATGCCATCCGCGCCCGGAGCCTTTTTAGGCTTAAGTCCTTTGATGAGGGATGAGATCTCATCATTGGACACAGAGATAGGTTCGGAGGCCGTGGGGGGTGAGTTCCGGCGGCGGACCTCATCCTCCACTGCCTGGACGTGTGAGGGGTCGACGGGTTGAGAACTGGGAGAGCATTGAGCAGCAATGCTATCTGCAAAGCACTCAGCCTTTTCCTCGTCCTCGAAGGCAACCGTGCCGTCGGGGCGGGAGAGAGGGGGAGTGTGGGTGATAGCGTCTATGCGGAGGGCTCTGGCCATCTGATAGTACGCTGTGTGAGATGGAGAGATATTCTCCATGAGCTTACTCTTTTCGAGATCTTGGAATTCAGAGAGGCGGAAGCGGAGTTTTCGTTGAAGACGATTGGCCGCGCGCCTGTATTCGGGGGTGGGATATTTTGCTGCTCTCCGGAAAGCAGCTTTTTTGGCTTTTAATAGGTTGCTAATGTGTAGGGGAAGCCCACTATTGTTAGCAACCGGGACGACCCTTTCGTTCTCCTTAAGGGAGGATTTAATAAGGGTGGAGAGTGAGTCGACCGCGGTGTCGATTTTTTCGGGACTGTCTAAGTCCGACGGTATGGGGATGGTAGTATCCTGTGAGTCCAGAGCTTTAGCTAGGGACTCCTTGAATCCCTTCCAGTTAGTGAAGGTTTTCGTGTGTGTTGGGGGAGGTGGCTGATGGCCAAGAATGAGGGAGACCGGTCGGTGATCTGATCCTAGATCGTCTAGTGTCTCGATTGCTCTGAGGTTTAGAGAAACTCCTTGGAGTAACAAAATGAGCAAAAAAAAAAAAAGGAGCAAAATCTAAGACATCGGGTGCGTGATCGGTGTTATCGGGAAAGTGAGTAACACCGAGAGGACTGTGGACGTTAATATCAAGAGACTGCGTGATATCGAGCAGTATCTTGCCACTAGGGGACGTAGTGCGGCATGTCCATTCAGTATGCTTGGAGTTAAAATCTCCAAACATAATGACTGAATTGCCCAAGGATAGAATGGCCTCAAAATCTTTTTTGAGGGGATAGGTTCCTGAAGGGATGTAACAGGAGGCTATGAGGATGGACTGATGTCCAGCCATAGCTAGCCTGCATACCGTGGCTTCCATGTTGGTTCCAAGCTGCGGAGTAGAAATGGGCGAGCAATGAAGTGTCTTCTTGTAATAAATGGCCGTTCCGCCGCCTCGGCGGTCGGGTCTGTCATTACGAAGAAGAGAGAAGTTTTTAATAGAAAGGCCTCTAGTGTCCTTAGCTTTGAGATTAGTTTCCTGTAGGAGGAGGAAATCGACTTCACGATTCCGAAGAAAGAGCTTGAGCTCTGGGAGGTTATTTCGCAAGCCGCGAATATTAAATGATACAAGCGATAAACCCTTAGGTTTGATACGACCGTGAGATCTTGGTAGGTTAATTCGCTCAGTCATTGAAGTTAAGTTAATTAAGTTAACCTAACTTACAACGCTAACAGAAGGTTATTGTGCTCCGCAAGAACGAGGAGACGTTCTTGGGGGGACTTGGCCGCGCGCAGTTTGCGTGATACTACTGTTATTTCCCTAACATCGATATTCCTAATAGCGGAATATAGCGTGTTGTAGTCGTCGATTGTGGGCTCTGCTTCATGAGCGTACGAGGTTGTCCGCGGTGGGTCTGCCTTTTTGGGCCCCCAGGGAAAGACTGGAGGCTGCATTGGCTTGGAGAAGCCCGGAGGGGGCCGAATTATGCCCTGAGGGGGCCTAGGGGGACCCTGAGGGGGCCTAGGGGGACCCTGAAGGGGCCTAGGGGGACCCTGAGAGGGTCGAGGGAAGCCCTGGATAGGCTGAGAAGGGCCCTGACGGGGCCGTTGTTGGAGGGCCGGAAAAGATCGGTCATTCACCGGCGGTGGAGCTTTCCTACTGGTGCGAGGTTGAGGTGCGCGTGGGCAACTCTTGTAGTTCGCCGGGTGTCCTGTCTGGTTGCACAAGACACAGGCGGGCGGGGATTCGGCGTCTTTGGGCCGGGGACACTCTTTTGTGTTGTGAGGTTCCAGGCACTTCACGCACCTGGGTGGGGCGGAGCAGTTGGCCGCCGCGTGACCATAAAGTTGGCAGCGGTGGCACTGCGCCGGGAAACCGGGCCTATGTGGGGGCTCTACCTTCACCCTTGACAGGCCGCACACTGTGCGCACCTGCCGGAAGATGTCGTTATATTTACGCGCACACTACACATTTAAATAAAACTAGTTTTTTTTGGATTTTATCACGTATATTAACTTGGTTATATTCCAGACGTTGAACACTTCAATATCCCCCCCCCCCCCTGTGACCATGGGTACTGTAAAGTGCTCGAAACGTCGGGAATATAAAAAAGTTAACATAGGTACGCGATAAAATACGTAAAAATTGGTTTTATTTAAAAAGCAGTTATTGCGATCTTACAAACAAACATTTCAATTCTATTCATATAATATAAGTAATAAATGTTAATAGTTGCAGTCGCCACGTATTTCCGAACCCCGTCTCGTGGAGAAGACCGACATCTCAATCAGTACCAGTATGCATCAGGTCAGTTGATTCATCTTTACAATTTCAACACGTAGAACCTTCATAAGGGCATTAAATCAGGGCTTTAAACTTCTTATAATAACTAGGTTATTTATATTGCAATATTATGTTGTTAGGATTTTTAATTAGATTTTTATAAAGGAACTCGTGAGGGTTTTAGATTATTACCTATTCTCATGTAAAATTTTATTAAAAAAGTTTTTTTTGTTATGCCGTGTTTGTGTGCAAGTCCATGAAGAAATTTCGAACATTTTAGGATCAGATGTGTCAAAAGCAAATCGTGTCGAGTCTGCAGGACAGCTTGTCGGTCATCGAGGATCTTTATAGGGAATGTTTTTATGAGGTAAGCGTTAATTTAACCCTTGAAAGGGCACACTCTTTATTGTTGAAATATACCCTTCACATGGAAGATTTTTAGTGCATATATTTTAGACATAAAGAAAACAATCAATCACAAAACTCACGTGACAGTAAGCGCATGCTGTGGTGCACACCTGCGTGTCTATGGACCACAATAGATTTAAATCAAATCAAAAAAATGGTTCGAGGGGGGTTGGGTTAGTAAGTAATTATAGGATTCTTATTTTTTAAAAAAAAAAAATCAATTGTCAATTCAGAATAAAGTTATATATTATATAATATAACAGGTAACATTTATTTACAGTAGCCCAGTAGCAAGTCACCGTCCCCGTTCCTCATAAAATAGCCTAATAAGGGGAATCCACTAATAATAAAGAATATATTAAACTTATTCTACCTTAGGGTGGCTGTTTTAGGGTGGATAACGGAAAAACCTTTCTGTAGTGGATATTCTTACATCACACTATTACTAAATATTTCTTGTTATTAAAGTTATTATTTTTTATATGATATGGGTGATAAACGAGCACACAGTCCACCTGTTAGTAAATGTATTCTGAGGTCCATAGACATCTACATCTATCCTCGATTAAGAATCAAAATACAGAAGCAACCCTTGATAAATAAGATGGAATGCCTCGTTTCTAGTAAAAAAATGTCTCCGCTTCCCTACACTCACCATACAAAACACAGTAGTATTGGGCTGCTATTTTACACTGGTATTCTTTGAGAGCGTGGTCATTCCCCGGTCGAATCGACTCATTTGTGCCACAACTATATAGCTGCAGCATAGCTCTACCACGTACAACTATCTTTATGCTGTGATTTCATATTGTTGGATTTTCTTTTAGATTACATAAAATGATAATCTTAAAATGCCCTCGAGCGATGACGTTATCCAGAAAATTGATATTATTGAATTACCATTTTGTTATAATAATTAATTGCAAATTAATTCTTAACATTTTTAGACAGTGAAACAAGAAGAATTGATAGATTTACTTAGAAAGTCGTTCTTAGACATTCGTATTAAGGAGAGGGAGAAAACGGAAAAAATTGGATGCTTGCAGAATGTTGTCAACTCGCAGAAATTGTCGCTTGATAGGTGCCAGGTAACGCTAGTGAAATTGAACTAAAAGTTTGTTTTTATTTATCTATTATTTTTGGAACCTTATTATTTTTTTAGGATATCGCGTTGGAAGTGGAGAATTTGAAGTCGGAAATATCGAATTTCCTAAACAACTCCAACAACGATTCGGTATTACACAACCAGTGATGCTGTGTGTGTTGCCACTTACAAATAATAAATGTCTGCGTAATAAAATAAACACTTCACGTTTTTTAAGAATATTGAACGGTTATTTAATTTTAGTAACATTAAATTCGTACCTTAATAAGCAATGTTATCAAAGAAGTCGAAGTAGGGAGAAAGAATTGTCTTAATAAATTATTACAATAAAAATAAATTTCACTAAATAAATTAAATGTATAATTCTAAACTGGATATACATATAATATAGACAATTCATTCTTTGTCTTGAATATAAGAGTAAGAATTTATTAATATCGTTTTAATAACTTTATAACAAAGTATTTATAATCGATTTAATTGAACTTTTCTGCCATAAGTGTAAGTTTATTCGTTATTAATAAGATCTAAAAATGTTAAAACCACAGAAATCTAAATAATAAGGATTTAGATTTCTGTGGTTAAAACGGATCGCATGCTTTGTTTCATTTTAAAGTATTAACCATGTATTTTTTGTGTTTTAAAAGTTTGTAAATGTAATAAAATCATGCATGGCTAGATGTTTTTAAACGTTTTATAACGGTTGCTTTGATTATTCAACCAATTGGTTTGGTTTAATCAAAGAATTGTTGTAATAGGATGCTATCGGACGCTATCGGTGTGTATGCTTAATTTACTTATTGAAATAATTTCATCCTTAGTTTACCGCCATAGACGTAACCAGTACGATTCTGTAATTGAAAAAAAGTTTTGTATTACCGTTTCTACTGTCAGTTGCGGCAAAAACTATGCTACGCTTCCCACAAAAATATAACGCGCCCCAAGTTTTATATTTCGATTATTTAAACTTAACTTTACGTAAACTTATTAAATTCACTGAGTGATTAATTAATTTATGGAGTATCTCAAACCGACTTCAAAGAAAATTCAGCTCCTTGAAAGGGTTTAAGTAGTATCTTCGAAGTAGATCAGACTACTTAATAGATCGAGAAAGCTTTTTGTTGTGGGATTAGAAGCATGGGTCAAGTAGGTACTATGTTAATTAAATATGTTATTTGTTGCATGTAATTAACTTCTATAAGAAATAAACAATTTGAGCAGAGTAATGTACGTTTGATTTGGTCAGGGCATGTGGGAGCGCGAGGAGTCACTGACGGGTGAGCTGGGTGGGGAGCTACAACACATCAGCGGTCAGCTGCTGCGGCTCAGGGAACTGCTGGCAGTGGGTTTCACACTTGAGTCTTTCGTTCGTGCGCATGCATAATTGCTTAGTTTTTTTGCGTAACCTACACAAGAGCAAACATGGCTTTCGCCTTAACATATTTATTCTAATCGAGCACGCATAATTTCGGAATAATTATGAATACATTTTGAAAAACACACTTTTGTATTTTTTTCTAAATTTGCTTTTTTCTACTATTGGTAGCTGATTAAAATTAACTTTGGTTTCATTCTTCACTATAAAATTATTCAATTTTTACAATATTTAATTACAAAATGTTGACAGTTCTTAAATTATCATGGCTTTATACCATTGTGTGCTTTACAAAAAATAACATAATATTTTTTTATTTAAGATATTTATAAGTTTTATATTATTTAATTTATTTACTTTAATTTTTTACATAGAGTGCCCTGCAGCTGTTCAATGCTGGTCACTTATTTCCCAATACTCAAACGCTACTCAATTTTTCAGAGTCGTGCTATCTCTATCAATTTAAGTCAAAGTAACTGCAACACCACGAGACTTAACGACATCTCAGAATTGAGTATTTTGTCCATTATTTTTTTTATAAAATAAGGGTGACAAACGAGCACACAGTCCACCTGATGGTAAGTGGATGCTGTGGCCCATAGACATCTACATTTATCTTCGATTAAGAATCAAAATGCAGATGCGTTGTCACTCCTGAGGACTAAGATAGAGTGCCTCGTTTTCAGTAAAAAGGGTCTCTGAATCTGTTCCCTCACCACACGAAACACAGCAGTTAAGCTGCCATTTTACGCTGGTATTCTGTGAGATAGTAAAATACCAAAGAGAGAATGAGAGCGTGGTCCTTCCCCGGTCGAGCCGACCCATTCGTACTACTACCATAATATAGCTGCAGCTAATAATAAAAAATAATAAATAAATAATAATTGTGTTATTGCAATAATTAACATGACCAACCTTCTGCGTTTATTAAAAAATTGAAAATTAATACTATTCGATTAATAATATTCGATGTGTAGTATCATATCATAATAAAGTAGTGGTTTATTTGATTTTTGCAGGGCGATTGCACATGCGGCTTGCGAGATGAAAACGTGAAACTCAAAAAAATGAACGAGGATTTAGTGGTGAGATCTTGATATTAACAGTGCGATTGTGTAGCTCGGTTGGGAATCGTTTGCCGGTGCGAAACACTTCATGACTGCATTGTTTTTTCAGTCGACTTTAGAAAGAGGAGGAGATTTACAATTCGATTATATATTTTAATGTTTGTATGTTATAATATATCTACGTTAACTGTGAATCAGAGAAAATTTAAAGTGGTTGCAAAATAGGGAGTAAAGTTTTATGTTTAACGTAACCATTTAGACGTACAGAATACTTTTACTCCTAGCGGAGATTTAGACGACAGAGACATTGTGAAATCCATAGTCGACTCATGAGGCTAACAAAATAACCTTTATTAAAGGTGAAAATCGACTTCAAAGAACTCTAAAAAGAATGAAATAATTGCATATCGTGAAGTCGAGGCTTTCATTCTTCTATACATTTTATCTTAGTAATATTAAAATATTAACTAATAATACGAAAAAAATAATTCATTTTGGTATTTTTTTGATACTTTTAATCTAAAATTAGGTTACTTATGTAAAAGAGGGGCTTATAATAGACAATTATATATTTACACAATACAACGAATTAAAACTTCAAAACAAAGCAAAACACCAGTCATGGAATCGATCTGAAAAGTAATATTGTGCGTGACACAACACAATATTGGTAAAATTGTGAACAGAGATATCTAAATAAATAATTAGGTTTCTGTGGTAAAATTGAGGGACTACGCTAATACGTAACGTACGTACGTAACGTAACGTACGTAAATAAATGTAGACCTTGATAATTAATAATTCCATATTAAACTAAGGCCTCGTCTCAATTTTTGAGGTGAGCTGTAATATTGGCTTCACAGACTGAGCGACCGTAGCAACATGAAAATTAAGATGCTGCTTTCTGTTCTCGATCTGAATATTTTTTATTGATTTTTGGATTTAGAATTGGGTAATTTTCCATTTGTCTTAATTTGTCATTTTTATTATCTATTTAGTATTATTATTTTCCTGAAAATTATCTAGTTGGCTCTTAAATTAAAGATTAAAAGGATGATGGAATCTTTTTTCACCGCTTTAACTTTTTGTCCTTAATATTGTGAAAAAATATTTCCATGGAATATTCTCATAAAATTATATTTTAGCGACCTTACTCATTTAAAATCGACGTCAATTTAAGAAATTTCGTTTTACCAAATGACAGAAGAATGAAGCTGGTATAGAGATAAATAATACTTAAATTACGTAATCAAAAATCAACAATTATAAGTAAGGCTCAAACATTTAATTAATTGACTCCACTGCCTCCTGAATTATTTGCTATTTAGGTGGCCGCCTATTTGCGTTCCATTGCTGGTTAAAAGCTTCTCAGTATTGAGAAAGCAATAAAATTAAGAGTGCTCGTCACGCTGCTCCAGTACACGAGCAGACTTCATTTCCTCAAAACACATGCTATTCTGGCAGGTAGACCCAAGGTTTACTTATGATGTTTTCTTTCACCACTAAGCACGTTGTGAATTGGATAGTCAGTTAACAATTTTATCGGCTATTAAATTTATATGCTACATCGCTGTTTAATTTATATCCCGTTTCATGACACATTATTCTGTCCAAAACCGTCTTAACAAGTTAGGGGAAGCCTGTGCCCAGCTATGGAAAGTATATATGCTGGTACTTTACTTTTTTATTGTTTCGTTAATTTAGATTCAAGTTAAAGACTTGCGCCAACGAGTACATGATCTGGAAGTGGCTGTAGCAGATAAGGACAAAGTGAACCTGCAGTACCAACGACAGCTCGAGCTAAAAGAAGAAGAGGTAACATTTGTTTTTTTTTTTTATAGGATAGGGTGACGACACGACACGAGCACACAATCCATCTGATGGCAAGTGGTTGCTGTGGCCCGTAGACATATACATCTATCCTCAATTAAGAATCATAATGCATATGCGTTGTCACCCGTGAGGACTAAGTTGGAATGTCTCGTTTCCAGTAAAATGGGTCTCCGGTTCTCAACACTCATCACACGAAACACAGCAGCAATAAGCTACTATTTTACGTTGGTATTCTGTGAGAGCGTGGTCCTTCCCCGGTCGAGCTGACCCATTCGTTTTACAACTATACTACTAATATAACTGCAGCACGGCTCTACCACGTTGAAAATTCACACTTAACTAACAGTAACGGGATATAAGGGGACTGAAGCCATAGTAAAAACAGAATAGTAGGATTTCTCCCGCACCGCGCGAGACTAAAGGTTTTCATTTTTGTCTTTTTGTTTAACAGCTAAGTCTCATTTAGTTTTATAAGTATTTATAATGTTTACGAACATAATACATATGTACGTACCTATGCATCATATTTGTTAATCATTTCTTTAGTTTCCTCTCAAAGAAACAATGTTTGTCAAAAAAAAATTCTAGCTTTATATTACAGCAAATGCCAAATAACTAAAATATGAGTAAATTAATGCTGATCATATGGTGTCAGCTCAGCTTTAATATTTGAAATTAATTTGATGTGATGTGATATGATAATTGATGTAAATAAAAAAAAAAACAAAAGTAAATGTACGTATGATAATAAATATAAAATTAAAGTATGATGATTTGTATTTAATACATATCAGTTCTTTAATTTATTCGGCTGTAGACATATACATAGATTTGTTTAGTGTTAAGAATGTGTCAACTAATCTATTAAGGTGATTGACTGTACATAGCAATTTTTTAGAAAATAAATCTGTTAAATATATTCAAATTTCAATAGAAGTCCTAAAATTTAAATTTTTAGCTTTTGCTTATTTAAGTAAAGGTGAGAAATGAGCACACAGTGAAACTAAAACGAGAGATAAAAATGGATGCGTTGTCAATTGTCACCTTAGGAGTGGTCTACATTGCAGCACATAAATTCAGCAGTTAAACGAAAAAAAGCAGCATTATGCAATACTTAGAAATCTTTTCAAGTGCATATTTCAAAATATGAAAAAATAAAATTGCTTATAAAGTTTTTTATTTGTACATTTAAGAAATGACAACATGAACTTTTTATTACACTGTATATCGAAATTAAAATTCATATATGATGAATATAAATTCATATTATATTCATCAAACAATTTCAGTAAATCGTAATACTAAAATCAGCAGTACGTAGTCAATTTCATAGCTGATACCTTAACGGAGCAACTGTACGATGTTTGATGACTGCACAATGAAAATAAAACAACATTCACACATTATACTCACATCAATGATATTATATTATACATATCATAAACTCACATTGCATATGTAATATGTATAATGACTATTCTACAGTCCCAGCAGAGTAACCTTTTACACGTTGCTTAGTACCCAGTTTCGAAAATATTTATCATAACCTAGGATTTTAAGTGACGTTGATTATCGGTGTTTTTATTGATTTGTATATCAAAATAGTTTAACAATGAGGGCATTCAGAACTTTTTCTGCCATTAGGGATGCACCATTTAAAAGTGTGGTGAAATATTTGACAGATTTCATAAACGGAAAGTTAAATTGTCAGGAAAATACAAAATTTAATATTTTTTAGGAAAATATAAAGTGAAATGCTAATTGTGCTTTATATAAAATAGATAAAAATGGTTAAACCAAACTTGGTATATACCTGAAAGTAGGGAATACCAGGATCGAATCCGGGGGATGATGAATTTTTTCCGTTGTTTTATTTAGATAAAATGGATAAAACAAACGTGGTATATACCTTATAGTACGGAATGCAATCCCGCGGATCCGCAATCCCGCAAATGCGGAATTAAAATGGGATGGCATGTGCGGGATCCGCAAAATTTTCAAGAGTTTATTTTTCCGGCCTAAATTCGCATAACATCATGTACGGCACGAATGAACGACAATAGTCGGATCCCCAAATTGAAGTACGTATGTGTGTGTGAGTCGAGTGACGAGTGAATGGGAATTTCTCTCTGTACGGGGATTCCTCAAAATATCTGTCGATACTCTACTAATGCTTGCACTAGTAGAGTATCGACGGATATTTGGTCAAACTTCTTCATCATCTTCAGTTAAAGTCCATTACTTGAAATAAGTCTCTTTTTAGTGTAAGGATGAGAAACGAGCATACTGTCCACCTGATGGTAAGGGGACGCTGTGGCACATAGACATCTACATACTCAAGTCCCTAATACCTCAATTATCAAAGATTCAAATGTGTTGTCACCCCTAAGGACTAAGATGAATAGGTACCTTGTTTCTAGTAAAAACCGTCTTTGGTTTTATACACTCACCATACGAAACACATTAAGCTGATATTTTACACTGCTTTTCTGTGGGAGCGTGGTCCTACCCCAGTCGAGCCGCCCTTTACTTGCAACAACCATAATTTAGCTGCATCGTGGGTCTACCATGTAGAAGAAACTATCCCGTTGAAGAAAGAATTTGCCTCAATCGTCACGATTCGCAGATGGTGATGATCGCAGCACCAGACTTGAGGTACTTCTGCCAGTCGCCAGTCTAACTATTTTACGTTTGAAAAATTAAATTTGTAAAATTGTAAAAAATTGTAAAATTTGGTTAGTGGTTCCCTTACGCTGTTAAGCTTTATTGTTTACATCCTAGCAAAGGTATCACAACCTATAACAGTCCACTGGCTGAAGATAGGCCTCCCTCATAGATTGCCTTATAGGGAATTTGCCATAGTTGTCATGCTTGGCGAGCTGGTTGGCAACCGTAGTTTTTTTTGTTTTGAGTTACGACATCTCTCTCTTACGACACTCTTACGACACCCACGGGACGATATAAGGTAGTGGGTATTTTTACACCGTCAATACACGGTATTTACGGTTCTCACATTAAAAAAATAAATGGTAGCATTAGACAGTGTCCCATACATACACTGTGATGGTCATTTGTTTAAGTGATAACTTTTGTTTTAGTTTCGACGCATGGCGCAACAACTGTCCGCGTTTGAAGAGAGCTCAAAGAACCAGAACATGACCTGCGAGTCTATGAATCGCCAACTGCAACAACTTCAAAGTTAGTTAAGTATTTCTTATTACCGTCATGTCTTTAGAAAAAATTATTTTCAATAAATAAGAGTATTTGGCCGTGTAAAGAAATGGGGAAATCTCCCGCCGGGCAAGTTATTCTGCCCGGGAAGCGGCCAACACTCCGAGTGGTAGTAGAGCTGTTTTATATATACTGTTTTACTTCGGAACTTTGATAGCGCGAGTTAGGCTTCAAAGTGTTTCGCTTGTGGCGCGACCACAGCGCCGCCACAACTCCACCAACCAAACCAAGAAGATAACAAATGTTGCCACCTCCGGGGATTTTGATCGAATGCTTTACAACCAGTAATTTCAATACTTTCTTCAAGCTCTGTTGGAGGCAGAAAACGCTAAGAGTATAGTAGCTGTCTAGCCAGATATGGTATTAGCTACTTCTTTTTATGGAGACGGAAGACATAGGCCTTTTTAGCATCTAGGAGTCCTTCTGAAAAGTTATTATCTATTTCTGCTACTAAGCAGCAGTACGTTTACTGTTGTAGTCCGTGTGCCTGTAAATATTATAGCTTCATATATATGGTGGTATACCATCTCGTTTAGCCAGACTTAAAATACCCAGACTGGTGACGGTCAGCAGCGTCAAAGCATTTGTCTGGACTGATGAAGAAGAATAAATAGTAAAGTAATGCAAGCAAGGTTAATTCCCTTATATTCCAAATCACTCTTAGAAATATCAAGAGTTATTATTACCTCTTATTTCTTGAATAAGATATCGCAATAACGAATAGAAGTAGAAATAAAGTTGATCCTGTTATGCGGATGCACGAAATGGCTAAAAAAGTAATTTATTGTTCTAGTACACAGCGTGTATACAATTAAGCCGTCCGAAATCGTTAAGCTTCTATGATTTGGTCCCTAATAACCACAGACGTTATAGGCCGATTGCTCGTAGTCGCTTCCCGAAATGGAGTTCAGTTTCGTGTTCCCGAAGAAATTGATACTCCGATCGTCGGCACACGCCTCTATAAGAGGAATAAGAGGAATAAACGACATTCTACGTCAATCCAGGTCATTCCATTCTTTCAACCGGAAAGTACTAGAACACTCGCGATAACATAAGATAAGCTTGGCGTGCTCAGCAGAGCGGGACAGTATTTCATGCCGGCACACCGCCTGCAACTTTACAAGGTGCAGGTTCGGCCGCACATGGAATACTGTTCCAATCTCTGGGCTGGAGCTCCCCAGTACCAACTCCTTCCACTTGACCGCATCCAGCGCAGAGCAGCTCGAATCGTCGACGACCGAGTGCTTTCCGATCGGCTCGATTCGATGTTGTATCTCTTTGCATTTTTTTTCGCATATACCATGGGGAGTGCTCTGAAGGAATTATTCGGATTAATCCCAGCCGGCAAATTTCGTAAAAGCACTACGCGGCAAACGTTCCGATACCATTCACACCATCTGGATGCCTGGCGGTCCACCACTGTATGTTTTACAAGGATTTTTCTTTCGCGTACGACCTTTCTGTGGAATAGTTTACCTCCGGCGATTTTTCCGGACCGATACAACCTGGGGACCTTCAAGAAAAGAGCTTACTCCTTTCTAAAGGGCCGGCAACGCATCTGCAATTCCCCTGGTGTTGCGGTTGATCATGGGCGGCGGTAGACATTTAACATCAGGTGAGCCGCATGCTCTTTTGCCCCATCTTCTATTAAAAAAAAAACATAACGTTTACAATATGTCCAAAGTAAAAAAAGACTTTTATATACCTATGTGGACACAAGGTAACCTCTCACTTGGACCAATAGTTTGAGCGATATTTATTTTAATGCCTACACATTTTATTACTTGACACAGGCTAGTGGGCATTATCTTCGGGAGCGTGCTCGTGCAGCGCGGCAGCTGCAGCACGTAGCTGGCTGTCGTACGTTATTTTATAACATAATTTATTAGAAATAGTAATTGATGAAATAAAACGAAATAGCAAAATAAATTTATAAAACATTTAGTAAGATTTAGTAAGATTCTTTGACAGTCGATCCGTTTGAGGATTTAAGGAACATATCACTCTTATTTCAAAAATCGCTGACCTGTGATGTTGCGTACATCTTAATATATAAAAAATACTTGTCACGTTGTTTGTCCGCGATGGACTCCTAAACTACTTAATCGATTTTAATCAAATTTGCACACCGTGTGCAGTTTGGTCCAACTTGAGAGATAGGATGTTTTTTTGCGAATTTGAGGATTTTTAATAGGACGTCGAAAAGGGCAGAACAACTTCTGCCTGCCAAGCTAGTGTAAGGTATATAAAATACCGTTCTAGTACAAGAGACTGATCTACAATTATCGGGTATTGTAGCGTTGCTGAAGGACAAGAGCGATGAGCTGGCCGGGCTGCGGAAACAGTGTGAGGTGCGGGAGTCGACAGCCGCCGAGTTACAACGGCGGCTCGATGACGCCCAGCTGATTATTGCGGAGGTAAGTAAATCCAATATTCAGTAGGAGCCTACTATTAGTATATACCATTAGTATTTATCTTTCCACCCCCACATTCCATCCATCCATCTGTCCACCTTGTCACCTCTCAGGATTAAGATAAAATGCGTCGCAGTCTGTAATTATTGGTTCTCTATACCATTCAGACCAAGAGAACACTGCACACACTGTAATTCGACAGAAGAAATAGGTAAGAGTGTGGTTTTTTTTATAGAATAAGGGTGACAAACGAGCACACAGTTCACACGATGGTAAGTGGATGCTGTGGCTCATAGACATCTACACTTAACCTCGATTAAGTATTAAAATGAAGATGCGTTGTCAGTCTTGAGGACTAACATGGAATGCCTCTATTCTAGTAGAAAGGGTCTTCGGTTCTCTGCACTCACCATACGAAACACAGCTGTATTCAGCTGCTATTTTACGCTGTATTCTCTGAAATCATGGTCCTTCCCTGGTCGAGTCGACTCATTTGTGCTACAACCATAATATAACTGCAACGTGGCTCTACCAGTATAATATCCCTCTTAGACAGAAAAATTACTCTACTAAGGGTAAAGCCGCGATGCAGTGTATTATGGTTGCAGAATTACTTTTGCACAAAATACCAGCATGAAGTGGCAGCATTTTTTATAGGAGAGGGGAGAACGAGCATACGGCTCACCTGATGGTAAGTGATTACCGCCGCCCATGAACAACTGCAATACCAGGGGAATTACAGATGCGTTGCAGACCTTTTAAAAAAGAGTAGCCTCTTTTCTTGAAGGTCTCTAAGCCGTACAAGTCCAAATATCTGGTGGTAGTCGATTCTACAACGAAGTTGTGCGAGGAAGAAAACTTCTTTTAAATCGCACAGTGGTGGACCGCCAGTTATCCACATGGTATGGATGATATCGCGAGTATTGTTGCGATGTGGGATGGTGAAATTATGCGGCTGGAATTAATCCGAACAATTCCTCAGAGCACTCCCCGTGGTAGATGCGATAAAATACGCAGAGATGCAACATTTCGTTGAAGTGCCAGTGAGTCATGCCGATCGGAAAGAGCTCGGTCGCCGACGATGCGCTGGATGCGATCAAATGGAAGAAATGGAAGGAGATGCTACGGGCGAGTCCCAGCCCAGATATGGGTACAGTATTATATGTGCGGCCGAACCTGCGCCTTGTAAAGTTGCCAAGCACGCTAAGCTTTTTAGAGGCCAATTTGGTCTTCTATTTCAAGTGACCACGAAACTGCACATCACTCGATATGTCGACGCCGAGGATTCCGATGCTGGCTTAGGCAACAAAGGGAGTGCCTTGAAACTGAGGAGATGCGACGAAAGAGTTCTTTTTAACGGTAAACGCGCAAACTTGTGTCTTCTGGGGATTAAACTGAACTAGATTTAGTCGCCCCCAACCTGATCCTTTGTATAAGCATAATGTCTATTGGCCAGAGCATCCTTTTTAATTTGATTGTACGTTCGCCTGTCAGCTATACTTCTACAAAAAATGATGTCACTTGAATATCTTACGAGATTAATATAATATGAAATCATATATTATAATCACATAATGCACTTCCCACACGTGAGTACATGCCTAATCTCATTTGTGAGAGGTTTTTAGAGCAAGCAAACACCGTGTTGTCTCAATAAGTTGGTGGACTTCCCATGTCCTTGAAATATTTATTTATTTATGCTTTATTTGCACATCAAGTACAATTTTGCGGACTTAATGTGACGAGGCATTTTGTACCAGTCTACCTCCAGGGTAAGCAGAGAACTTATTATGGGTGCAAAGTGCAAACAGCTGTGTAAAAATATCTATGTATAATATGTGCATAATAACATCCATATCTACATAATAAATCACAACGATATATAAATATGAATAAAATATATGTAAATATATATTTATATAATAAAGATATTAATTAATTTGCAACCTTCCGCTAACTAAATATGAAATATAGTAGTGGTGCTGGGACTAGTGGTAACGGAGTTAGTGCATGCAATTGAGGGAGGGCGGGAGGTGTGCTTCAATCCAGGTAAGACACATCATTGTATTTGTTTAGCGGAAGGTTGCAAAGAAATTTATATTTTTATTTTTTTTTATACATTTACTTTATACCTACATGTACAGAAATGCAGTTTTCCTTCGCCGAACACGTGTTAAATTAGCAGTTAAAACTGCAATTAACAGTGTCATTGGTACGCGTGCGGAGCAAATCCGGCATACTATGATATTTACGGCGAGCGCTTAGCCCTTGAGCTACTGCTCTTTAGCATCCGGCTCGTAATCGAGAACTGTCCGGAAATTATGTAATATTTTGATGAAATGCTAGGAGCGTGGTGTGCGTTCCGAGGTGCGCGAGCTGGGCGAGCAGGTGTGCAGGTGGCGCGAGCAGCTGCAGCAGCTGCAGCACCAGCTGCAGACCGCGCGCGCTCACAGCGAATGTGTGACGCAGCAGTACAGGTGCGCACGATAACTTGTTACAACTTGTTACAGACATAACAACACCGCATGTGGACCATCAAAAATTAGAAATGGGAAAATATGAATCTCCTAGCTCGTTCAATCTCGTGGTGTGACAGTCACTTTAATTTAAAGTCATACAAACAGCACGAGACTTAACAGTATCTTAAAATTGAGCAGCGTTTGAGTATTTAGGCATAAGTAATCTGCATTTAGGAGATACAACTACTAGCTTTCAGGTAGGAGCCCTTCCGTTTGCCTAACAGTACAATATATCGAATATATACTTTCATATCGCCCGTGAATATGTGCAATTTTAGAGGAATTGCATTATATAAATACGGTAGTGGACTGCCAGCAATCGAGATGATGAGGATAGAATTCAGAATTCTGTGGCAGTGGTGTACGATGGTGAAATTCAGCAGCTGAAATTTCATTCATTAGTTACAGCCCTTTACAAGTCCACTGCTGAACATAGGCCTCACACAGGGAATACCGCTAGGCACGGTGCTGAGCCACCTATATCTATCGACTTTCTGCACGTTTTACCAGGTCCTTATTTAATTTGTGAAGAGTTACCTCCACTTTACCTACCAGTACGAGGCAGGCAACAGTTAAAATTAATCCGAACTACTCCTTTGAGCACTTCTTGTTGTTACTTCAACTTAACACGACATCTGAAGCACGGGGTTAGAGGAGCGTGGACATCATAAGTGGTAGAGTCACGCTGCAGCTATATTATGGTTGTAGCAGGAATGGGTCGGCTCGACCGGGGAAGGACCACGCTCTCTCAGAACACCACCAGAACCAGAACCAGAACACCATCTGCGTTTTGATTCTTAGTCGAGGATAAATGTAGACGTCCATTGGCCACAGCATCCACTTACCATCGGCTGGACTATGTGTTCGTATGTCATCCTTATTCTATAAAAAAATCTTAGCAAGTCGACCGCTCATTTTCGGATCGGCCGTCACGGCAGTGTGTCAGTGAGTTGGTAACTCACACATCTTTTAATGCATTTTTTGTTCCATAGTGTTAACGACAACTGTTCTACAAGTTTTTTTAATAAATCATATAATCTAGTGTACACGAGCTAGGAACTTACACTCCGCGTGGTATATGCGGCAGACAATGAATGATGTGTGGCAGGGAGGAGGCGCATAGCACGGCTCGGCTGCGCGACGAGCTGGCGGAAGCACGGCGGCGCGGCGCGCTGCTGTGCGCCCGCGCGCGCCGCCTCGCGCTGCACCTGCGTGCCGGCCTCACGCGTCAGCGCCTGCGCCTCCGGTACGCACACCTTTATAAGTCGCGGCATGTAACTCTAGCGCTGAACGAAACGTGGAGGGGATAGCTGTGAACTTCGTATCAGTACGGGGGTCGGAATGTGACTGGAGAGCCAATCAGCGCGTGCAAACGATACGCACAGCCAATCATACGCAATAATGCGCAATAACGGTCACCGCTAGACTTTCGTTCCGCGAAGTATACTTACACACTTTTTGAAGTGAAGACTTCTTCAGAATGGTTGTGATTCGAAACTCAGTGAAACGAAAAAAAGCAAATCTAAAAGATTTAGTCTGCACGAGAATGTGGTAGAATACAATATAAATATATAATATACTACATTCTGCACTAACCGGGCAAATATCCCTAAAATAAAAGTCGTGAGTCATAATCAAGAAATTGAAAAGGTTGCTGAAATAAAATTCCTCGGCCTTATTTTGGACCAGCTATATCTTTATTCCTGTAGTTGGAAAAGTCATGTAAGCATAAAAGACTAACCAATATAACAAGTAAAGAAGCTGCTATAACAGCTTATCATGGATATGTAGCGTCCGTGCTACAGTATGGCTTATTGATCAGGGGCAATTCAACGGTTTTTAATAGAGCATTCCTCATCCAAAAGAAATGTGTACGGACGATTTGTGGATGTGGACCTTTTGATACTTGTAAACCACTTTTAATCAGATAAAACTTATGGCACTGTGTTGCATGTACGTGTATGAAATTGGAACGTTTGTAAAGAAATGTCCACATTTATTTCAAAGATGTATTGATAATTATACAGATAAAACATTTCTGCATAGAGATGTTACAAGACCAAATTTACGAAAGTGTAAAACTGTCTTTTATCAGAAGAGTTGTCCCAATATGTGTATAAGAGTATATAATAAAATCCTCAGTGATATTCGAAAATTGCCATTTAACTTTTTTCAAAAAACATTGAAACAATAGCTTATTCAGAATTGTTTTTATTCCCTAGATGAATTTTATTGTTATAGACCAAAGTGATATTTAATATGATCTTGACTTGACTTGATAACTGTTGACATGTACACCTTAACTTGACGACATTTTTTATTTTTTTATTTTATTTTGGCATTAAAACTGGATCGAATTTTGTATTATTTCTTGTTTATTGTTAACGTCTATGTATATGTGTTATTTATCTTGTGACATTTTATTCTTACGGGTTTATCACTAAATTGTAATTAATCATAGATATCCATAGAACATTTATACAGCACTAGACTGACAATTATAAAATTATATATTTGCATACCACTGGCAAAATATGATTCTACCATACGAAATTATTAATGCCATCAAAACATAACTCGTAAAAAAAACCAAGTCTCGCAACTCAGTTCTTCTACCGTAAAAAGTTGTGAGATCCATGTAATACCAAGTCGGTTAATTTATTCAGTCCCTACTTAAGGATCCTTCTGTTTGAAGTTAATACGTAATTAGCTAACCTAACAACATTTTATAGTGACCATAATATCAATGTTAAAAATCTTTTATGTTTTAAATATGTAGATTGACTAGACCATCGCATGAAAACACAATGAATCTCACAATAATTTGTGCAAGTTTAAGGGGTAATCTGTGCAAGTAATACATATTATATTATATTAGATTGCTTAGTGCCTACTTGGTTAATGAAAATTCAGGCTTCTAGTTTAATCCACTACGAAGTTATAGGGGGTTGAAAAATGGCCTGAATTGCTTCGAGAAAAGTGGTTTGGCCGTGCCGCTTTTTTGCTCGACTTGGCAGATCCTGTAACTACCGTATTTCTTGCAAATAAATCATTATTATTATTATAACACTTTTTTCTCATTCCTAGATTTTCGTTTACTGCATGTTAATTAATTGTTAACTGAATCCCAATAACTTTTAATTGAAACGAATCAAAGTTTGAATTGAATCATAAAAATTGAAAAATATTTACTACTGGATACTAGTTTCTTCCATGTTTTGATTCGATAATTTGAGGGTTGGCAATAAAATAGAAGAAAAGATAAACATATTTTTTTTTCAGAGAACAAGAAGAGAAAATACAAACACAAGAAGAACTGATTCGTAGATTGCAGCAGCCTTCAGACATGAGACAAAATAGTACATGTGATAACGAGCCTTGCTGCTCCAGATACATTTCTCGAGAGAAAACGAAAAGACGGAACGATTGTGCTACCTCGATCTCGAGCGAGGTAGCCGATTGTCTCAAGTGTACTCAAATGAATCGAAAAATAAGAGATGATACGGGTAGCCAAATTGGTAGTTGTTCAGAATACAGACATATGGTGAGAGAAAGAGCAAGTGAACTGGAACTCACAAGTGAAAGCGATATAAATAACTGCTCGGTTCCTCCAAAGCCGCCAAGAAGACTACTTAGAAAAAAGAAACCATCTTCTAATACGTACGACGTAAGTATAATAATTATAAAATATAAGAATAACTACAAAATACGAAGTGGTTGTCACCGAAATTCCACAACTTTACGCAATTCTTGGCTTCTACATGCAGGTGTTTTTAACCCGCTCATAAAAAAACATTTATTGTGTTCGTCAATTCGGAATATCGCCAAAGATTTTTTATTTGCCAATTCTTATTTCCCGTAATTTAAAAATAAATACACATTTTCTTAATTTTTATTTCAAAATTACAAGCTTACAATGTTCCTTTTAATAAGTCACTTTTTTAAACCAATGAAAGACAAAATATCATATTGTAAAGTGAATAAAATCTTACAGTCTACATCTTTACATATTAAGCACTAATTGTTTATCAGTAAAAGCTTTCAATTGCTTGCACATTTAAATGTTATACCGCTGAATATTTATATTTTTGTATTTTAAAAACTTTATTGCGTCCCCTTAGAAAAAAAAGGAAACAAATGGCGGACTTAATACCTAAAGGCATTCTCTAGCAGTCAACCCATGGAGTGGTAAGTTTGTCGTAGGTGTAGCAATTAAAAGAAAAGAGGAACTAAAATTAATACACATTATATGTTAAAAATAATAAAAATATAAATTTCTTCGCAACCTTCCGCTAAATAAATACAATGATGTGTCTTACCTGGATTGAAGAGCATCTCCCGCCCCCATTGCATGCACTAACTCCGTCACCACTAGTGCCAGCACCACTACTCCCAACACCACTATTCCAGGTAAGACACACCATCGACGATAATACGACACGTGTTTCGCCTCTACACGAGGCATCTTCAGGTATACCTGAAATCAATCCAGGTAAGACACATCATTGTATTTATTTAGCGGAAGGTTGCGAAGAAATTTATATTTTTATTTTTTATTATAATGGATTTCCGCAAAGTAACGCCTGATTCTATCAATCACATTATATGTAACAAAAATGATTATGATATACTTATATATATATATATATATATATATATATATATATATATATATATATATACCACATGTAACAAAAACCCTGTGGTTCCCGTTAACTGCGTTATCAGAATCAGTATGCAAACGTATAGAAATAATTTTTTTTTTCAAAAAAACAAATTTAAAAATTTATTTTAATGAAAAAAAAAAATAATTTGCAAATTATATGTGGTTTTATTTCCTCTAACTTACACGAGTATCGGTTAGGGAATGCAATCTCGCGAGATTTTAGACCTAGTCGAGAACTCGCGAGACTGACTTTACGAGATTTCCGAGATCTCGCCCAATTGGGTATTTGTACTAAAAACATTCGCTAATACTATTAATTCCGTTTATTGATTTTCAATATATAAGATAAAATAAAACATACGTGTAATTGGCATATACCATTTATTTTAAAATAAAACACAATATTTTGTTATAATATAATATTCGTCAGTTTTATTCTTATTATATGAATTGAAAATCAGCCTTCTGTATCTGCAGTATTAAGAACAAAAAATTTCAAATAAAACAAAAAAACACTTCGAAATAATTCGAAATGTGACACTTATTCAGCCTTCTGCTATGTAAGTATTATTAGACAGTGTTATTAAAAGGATAAGTTATTTTTGAAAGTGGCTTCTCAAAAAACACAGCATATCAAGGGTTTCATCTGATAGACGACTCCTGATTTTACAGGCCAAGTACCCCGCGGTCAAAAATGCTCTTTCTGCCTCTACACTAGTCGGAACCACAGTCGACAAACAGTTGTGTACAAACCGAAGGAGTTCACCTTTAACCCCTCAAGCTTCATACAAATTCATCTCTTTTCTAATGAGTATCTCCAATGAATTTGCAAAATTTGTTGAACGATTGGGCTTTTTCAATGCTGTCAATGTCAACGATTTTTGTAGCTCCTCTTGAAGGGAAATACTTTTTCCAGCCGTGGATAGAACAGAAAGGGGCCCATCATCATTAGCGTCTTCGCTTTCGCCACGTACATCATTACAAGCAGCTGCTGATGTTGAAGGAAGTGGCTCTGTAACAGATGAGCTTTCTTGTGTATGATAGTAGTATTGCGTCCTGCAGTGCAATCTCTCTATAAGTTTTTTAATTTCTTTTCGGATACTGACTTTCTACGACATTTTGAACACTTCGTCTCGCGCATACTCTTCCAAATCTTCCTCATATTTGACATAATCTCTCAAATATATCAATACTGAAGTCAAGCAAGTTTGGCGCTCAGCTATGCGGCTTCTCAATGACTCTGCTAGTTTTCTTGCCAATGTTTTCATCAGTTCTTCAAGTTTGCGTATCATAAATCTTAAAGTCGTTTCGGCAGTAACGAGGTCAGAATCTCGACGGCATAAGACCTCCACAGCGAGTTTGATAGGCTGAAATACTCTGTCTAAGTTTCTCAAAACTATATACTCTTCTGCACTCAAAGAGTAATCCGAATTAGTGTCAAGACCTAAATCGATCAATGCTTTGCCGACACACAGTTTAACTTTGTCTTTGTTGTTTGACATTTAATGTCGATATCATATCAGCAAGGCTTGACCAGCGTGTTTTGCAATCTAATTATAGCTGTAAGTTTTTGCCAAACTTTTGGTTAATGTAAACTTGGAGGAGATCGTTTTTTGTTGGCGATTTCTTAAAAAGCCTGACCAGTTTTCTGACCTTTTCTATGATACTCGCGTACTCTGTATCCAGATATACCTCTCTTGTTGGAAAAAAAGAGTAAAAAACGTCATCTTCGTCATCGGAGTTTATTTCGGTTTCTTCTCCTGATACGTCAAATATCTCATCAATGTCATTATCCTCAGACAAAGATAAATCTTGTTTTTTGTACAGAACGTCTATGATAGATAACTGAATGCCGTCGGCATAGCAGAGCTGATGTAGAGGATTAATTAAACGTCCTAATTTGATCATTACCTTAGCCCCATCTGTTGTAATGTTGACTACATCATCGTCAAGAGACAATTAAAATTATGAAAGTCTGTTATCTAAAAGATCCACTGCAGTTTCGGCAGGCATACTGCCGTATATTCTGATCAAGCCTAAATTCCAAAATATGGCTTCATTTTCTTTGCATGTGTGGACATTCACGTTCATGTAACGTCTATTTCTAGAGGAAGTCCACTCATCGAAGGTTAATGTAAATCTGTAGTTATCTTCCTTTAGCTGAGAAAGTTCTTGTTTAAGTTTTATTTTTAAGGTCATTCCGTAATTTTAGTTTAATGAATTGGAGCGGTATTGTCCCTTGAAATAAAGGTTTAGGTCTTTTGAGGTGAATAGAAAGTAAACCGTCTTTAGCCACCATTCTTGAAACCATAATTTCCTTTGAAGTATCTTCGTTGTGGAAATGGTCCGTAATTTTTCGCTTTTTAGGTACAGTTGATGATTTTGATTGCTGAAGAGTACTATCTGAAGAAGAAGCTGGTCCGGAAGCTGCTAGCTCTGGCACCGCTGGCCCGGCGACCGGAGTCCTCATTGAAGTTTCTTCATTTTCCTCAATCTGAACATCCTCAAACTTTTTTTCGAATCAATGTTATGTATAGACTTCAAGAGTGAGTTTGTGTGTAAGCCTTTTGGAGAACGGTCTTTAGCTTTCAAAATCTTCCCACATACCTTGCACTTTGCACTGAGCCCATCATTTTCTCTTAAGTAATATTTCCAAACTTCTAATGAACTTACACTGTACACTGTTTTTGAGTTTATTAACATAGTTCAATGCCAAATTACATTATACGTTACACTAAAATAACCAGTTATTCACAAAAATCCCTTAAATTCAACAAAAACAAGATAGTTACGTAAACAAACGCATGCGTGCCGGCAAAGTGATGACAGTGAGTGAGCCGGGCCTCGTCCCCCGCAAGTCCCGCGCGAGCAGTGCCTACAGCATGCGCAGACAGTTCGCGTGCAACTTCGCTACGATATACACACCGATTTTGCTGCGCCGCTCAATCTCGCAATCTCGCGAGATCTCGTACAAAAATTGAACGAGACTCAGTCTCGCAAAATAAGGACGAGATCTCGCGAGAACGAGATTGCATTCCCTGGTATCGGTAATGCGGTGTCTTTGACAATCCTCTTACTCCTCGGCCAATGCAGAGATAATAAAACCACATACCTACAATTTGCAAATTAATTTTTTTTTTCATTAAAATAATTTTTGAAAAAAAAATTATTTCTATATGCTTGGATACTGATTCTGATAACGCACTTAGCGCGAACCACAGGGTTTTTGTTACATGTTGTATATATATACATACATATATATATATATATATATATATATATATATATATATATATATATATATATATATATAAAACATACATAAACACTCACGCCTGTCACCCAGAGGTGAGAGGTGAGTGAGGCAGAAACTACAGACTTCCATTTGGCACGATCCTGACACACCTCTCTCGCCTCCTTCACATCCATACACCTACGCATACATGCTCGTCGGTTAAGGGTACTCCTAATTTGGCCCGTTTTCAATAAATCGCCAATTTGGTCGAAATTTTCTTTGTCACTCTTTACTCATTCATTCTTTCCACATGACCAAACCACCGAAGCATTCCTTTCTTAATCCTGGTCACAACATAATCTTGCAAACCACACTCTTCTCTTATTACACAATTTCTTACCCTGTCGCTCAGATTCAGCCCTAACATACTCCTTAAGGACCGCATTTCTACTGCGTTGATTCTACTCTCGTGCTTCTTCTGCCACACCCAACTTTCACTACTATACGTTAAAGTAGGGACCAACACAGCATTGTGAATTGCCATACGTGCCTTTTTTGACACATTTTGACTCTTCACAATAGAGTGCAGGGCCCCATTTACTCTATTTCCCGCATTCACTCGTCGTTCTATATCCTTATCATATCTCCCATCCCTGCTAAATACGCAGCCCAAATATACAAACTCATCTACTTGCTCGATCAACTCTCCTTCTATTCTTATTTCACAAATCGTTTTACTTTCTTCTCTTTCAAAAACCATAACCTTCGTCTTACTTGCGTTCACTTTCATACCCCTTTCTTTTAATGATCTGTTCATTAATGTAACCATCATTTGCAACTCGGCCGCCGACGACGCAAGGATAACTTGATCATCGGCGTACAAAAGGCATTTGACGGTTAACTCACCCATTCTTAATCCGCATTCTTCAACTTTCAAATTTTGCAAACAACTGTCCATAAATAGGTTGAACAGCCACGGGGAAGCCACACAGCCCTGTCACCTTTATGGATGTCAAACCAGTCCGAGTAGACCCCGTTGATCCTAACACAAGGGACTCTAGTGTCCCTATAAAGAGACTCCAATGCCTGTATCAAGCCAGCGCTCAACCCAAATGAGTTCAGTGTTTGCCATAGCACATCCCTATCTACTCTGTCATAGGCCTTTTCCGAGTCCATGAACGCACAAAAAACCTTTTGGTTTTTGGCCAAAAAACTTCTCCGCGATCATGCGCATGGAAAATACTTGATTTGTATATCCCATTCCCTTTCTGAATCCCGCTTGCACATCCCAAAGGGGGATGCCCACTGTTCATAGACACTTCGGCCATTGGTGCCCACATATAAAAGCATTTGGAAACGATAATATGCAATTAAAATAATGAAATGGCTAAGGAATTGGTTTAAAAAAAGTCGGGATTTTTATGATATAAAAGTTTTTATTTTCACAAATACAGTTTTTTAACGACTACTTTTACCAATTTTATCGCTTTTAACTTCTTTAACTTTTGTTTCTCGACATTTCAGTTGCTTTATAGCACCCATGGTCACGGGGGACTGAGGTGACTGCCATTCCAATGTCAGTATTGGGACACCTTCCTTCCACGATACCACGATACCTTCAGCTTTTTATTATTATTTTAATAGTCCAATCTATGCAGATTGAACTTACTCTATCTTTAAGTCTTGCAGTGGTATGCCTGGGTTTGGTTTTAATTTTATTAATTATAGTGTCCCAAGTAGGTGGTAGTACCCAATCGCCTTCTTTATTGAAATTAGGATGTTTTTAATTTCAATAGCCTCACATATCATCCTTGGTAGGAATTAAGGCTCTTTCGCGAGGATTTGTGATCTATCAAATCTGATGTATGTCTATCTGGTTGGGGTGACAACCTTGACATACGGTAGTACAGCTAGCACACGCTCAACTGCGGTCGGCTTCACTCAGTCACTGTGACGTAGATGTGGGACCCGAAGCTTGATTTTGTGCAGAACCTGCTTGATGTGCTGAAGCTCCGCGGCCAGGTGCTTGCTCTCATAGATCCCATATGCTCTCTGTAACAAACATTTGCTCACGGTAACTAACTGTGGAGGGTGATGGTGAGATTCACCGCTTAAATATAAGTTTGTATGGGTCTTTTTTCTATACACAGTGTGACATATGATGTTAGGATTTTGGAGAACAAAAACATCTAGGAAAGCTAAGAAATTATTTGCCTCTAATATAATATCGTAATTACTGAATGGAATTTGGCACAGAGAGTGTTAACGATGGATAAAATTCATAGTAACAACATCCTGATTTAATATTTCACGGGCCATATTCATGAGCCGCTCTTATTTGTTTCTTGGCACTTGCAATAATGCCGATATGCATTCATCACTATCTCATGCTTCTATTTTCATCAAATATACAGCAAGTGCAAAACATCCACTATGTTTACTTGACATTTTGGGAACTTTAGACAGAATTTATTGTTATTGTGCTTTTGATAAGCCTAGATAATAATGTACACTATATTCAGGCATACTGTGAATACTTTCAAAGTCTATAATATGATGGTAAATATTATCTTACAATAATGTAGAAAAATCTATAATTTGTGCTACACCAAATGTTTTAATATGATTATATATTGATTCTAAAAGTAAATACCAAAAGTTACTATTTAAATGGTAATTACTGATTCTACATTCTGGAGGTACATAGTAATTGTATTCACAAAAAGACATACCCGCAATGTTGATGGAACTGTGAGTTGATTGGAATAGTTACAACCAGGAAAAGACATTGATTTTGTGTGAGTGGTGGTCTTACAAAATTAGGCAGCAGTATATTGTACGATGTATGATCTAAGCTTTGTTGTTCTAGGTTCAATATATTACTCACTTTAGATTGCAACGAGTGTACCGTTAGGGGTACAGAATAGGTGGGTTCTTAAAAAACCAAGATTTACGGTATTGTAATTATTTATTTATCTCACTTCCGCACACGTACAAGTAATTCTATTAAGGGGATCACTGGCCTGACGTAGGGGCGAAGTCCAAGCGCTGTTCTCCCAAGGCCGTAGACAGCCAGTTAGCAGAAGGGCCGGTGAAGCCCAAGCCGATAGTGATGATGGCCGTTGGTAGGAGGGTAGGCCAACACTCCGTTAGCTCGCGGCTCGGCAGCAGTAGCCCTTAGGTAGCAGGTAGATGCTTAGGTAGTAGGTAGATGCTAGGTGGTAGTAGATCCTGGAATTCCAGACGGAGGCCAGCATTAGGGAAACTTCCTATTGCACTATATGCGCCCTAGTCAATTCCAGCACCCCTTGTAGGAAGTTAAAATTCTTAAAGCTAAGCACTAAGCAGCCTCAGCAAAAGAGGTATTAATTAAGCAGAACAGTTACAATGTTTCAATAAATAAGAACTCACCCCAGCGGGATCAACTGCACCACGAATAATTTAAATTGTAGGTAAGCAGGTTCAAAAGTCGTTAATAGAAGGGTCACGCGCGTTGCGAACTTGAAGCGGTCTCAGGTAGAAATGCAAGAGGAATGGCCCGAACGGGGACTCGCCGTCGTATCCGAAACCTACCGAGTCTTTTTTTTTAGAGATCGTTGAGCAAAATGGTTCACGCTGCGCGGATTAAATTACTAGTCTATGGTTCCGTAGAATAACTATTTTAAATTAACAATATGTAATAATTCGTTACTTTTTATTTTTAGATTAGAATATTATATTACTATTATTTATTTAAGATTTAAGATTAATCAATTATAAGTGTAAGGGTGCATTCAGAAGCAACGTTACAGTACCCCGCCAACTGAAGAAGGATTTTGCGTCTTTAATAGTAAAATCCGTCTATCTGTTTCTAGTCTACTAGGTACCGAGGAAAATATTTATTTGGTATAATTTACGAGTTTTAGGTCTTTTATGTGCCAATATCCTATAGATTTACCGGTCATATCAGATAATTCGTACACAAGTGGCGATTTCTTAGTAATAATTTTGCATTTAGTGAATTTTGGAGCTAATTTTTTATTAAAGTATTTATCTTTATCACTTTGATAAAATGTCCTTTTCCATACTATGTCCCCTACATTATATTCAGCAGGCCGACGACGTAAACTATAAGTATGACAATTTTTGGAATGTGCTTGTAGTAGAAGGGCTTGCACTTTGTCGAAGATACTAGACAGGCAACCTAAATTCTCAGCATAAGAGTCTCGAGGGTGATAAATAATGTCATCGCACTCAGCATCGGCGTAGTGAGAACCACAAGAAACTAATTCTCTGCCATATACGAGAAAAGAGGGAGTGTAGCCAGTTACTTCAT